CCTGGATGCCACCCTGTGCCACATGCTCTAGGTGTGCCTGCTTGAGCAGGAAGGTTGGACTAGATGATCTGTAGAGGTCCCTTCCAACCTTAAATATTCTGTGAATCTGTGAATCTTGTAAGAAGCACACAATAAAAAATCCAAGTTCAAATTAAAAGTTGGAGGAATATTTTAAGTAAAGTTTCGACACAGTCATTTACTTAGGCATTTATATAGTCATTTACACTCATTCCTTCATTTTATAAGAGATCATCCTTTTGATTCTAGTGTTACAGCAAGCAGCTTTCCAGTSAAGGCTCAGAAAGAATTAATTCTTATTGAGGATTATGAGGAATTAATGTCAGTATTGAACATGAATCAGTACTTAAGATACACTTCATCACAATACAGTAACAGTACACTGGCAGCAAATGCAATGCACTCCATCCTTTCCAGACAGACCATAAGAATATTGCCATTGCATGATTACAAGTGAGACTCTTGGATTATAGGGACTAAGTCTAAGACTTACGGGAGACTCATTCCCAAGTATTTCTTAGCCGTAACATCAGTGGGAAAAGGAGTCTAAAGGAAGAGTAAATATTGCAAACCGTTCGTTTTATCAGGAATCACGATCAGATATATCAGTGTTCACTCCTTTTTTCCCTTCTGCCCCTTCCTTCCCAAATACACATATGTATGGGAACATGTAGACACATCTTGCAAGACAGACAAGAGTCTTTTTTTTCCCCATTGAACAAAAATTCTTGCAAGCTATCAATTTTCTTCCATGGAAGTTACAGCTCCTGTTGCACATATTCTTGGCATGCAAAATAATACAGAACATACCATTTAGATTACACTTCTGTAATTAATTTAATCACAATAACAATATCTAATTAGGTTCTGTTAATTAGTAAGTAACTTTTTTTTACAAATATGTATGCAGTATGATGTTGCTATTAACTACAGAAGCATGCAACAGCCTGCTTCATTTAGGTCCTTTAATGCATGTATTAGCTAAACACATTAAAGGAACGGTAAGCTAACATGTTACAATTCCACATGCAGAAGATTTTGGAGGCATCTGGAGATACTTTTGCCATGGATTTCCCCAAATAATCGTCAGACTGGGTAGACCAGCCAAAATCAGAAAACTTGGTTTTCACAAGTGTATGAAATATTGGGCATACAGATGCCTCCAACAAAAATGTCTCTCCTTTCCTAACTCTTCCAACATGTCAAAATCCTCCCTCTAAATGGTCTTCTTCATTCTCCCCCTTGGTGGTTACTTACTTTATCTACTGCCATTGGACTTGCCTCATGCACCTATCTTACTTTCTTGATCTAAGACCTAACTCTAGGTGTCCTTCCTTACAGTGAGCAATTACCAAACTCATTTACCTTCTATTCCCACCTTTCTCACATTCAGTCACCAGCTTCAATTTCATCCTAAATTCTGTCTCACCTTCTGTCTCAACCAATGGCTTCCCATAGCCCATTATTTCTCTATCTAATATACACACTTTCTGGAAACTGCTTCCAGATGTCCCTCTTAGATTCTTATCACCCTATTTAGTCTTTCGTCATCATAAGACTAGATTTTACTCCTTCTACATTTAAACTAGCATGACTTCTTCCTTCTATTTGTCGTAATAAGTTAAGGAAAGAGAGCCCAATGCTCTGAATGCATATGCAATATGGAGCTGTAACTACAAGTGAAATTCTTATTTGAACTAAGCAGAAGCACACACGGAATGCAAGCACGGAGAGAATATTCTTGAAATTCAGTGGTTAAAAATCTATGCTAGCTTATTTTGACTTTTCAAAGGTTTAAAACTTGTGCAGAGGAATATACACTGAAGCATATCTATAGCATTTTATAGTAAATATCGCCTTATTTAAGACTTAGGGTTAAAAAAAGTTTTGCTAGGATTTTGCAAAAGATGAATCACTGAAATAATCTTACAAAAGTAAAACTATATGTCATTTCCCTTGAATGGACTAGATGATCTCTAAAGGTCACTTCCAACCTTAAGGATTCTGTGATTCTGTGAATCTTTTCCTAAAGGACAGGATAGTTCCCAATCTCCTCCTCCTCCTTCTTCACAACCTGCAGTCCTGCCACCACAGCTACAATATAGACAGATAAAGCACAAAGCATGCTAACACCTTCCAGGAAAGTTTTTACCTTGATATCAGAAGTGTCACGCTGACTATTGTGCCATGCTCTGGAAATAGATGAAAATGTTCTATCTGCATGATCAAACTTCCCACCTTGCAAATTCAGGAAAAGTGTTGTAAAGGGCTCCTATTAGAAAAAAAAAAAAAAAAAAAAAAAGTTAAAAAAAGAAAAAAGTAGTCTATTCATTTAGGAATTTCAGAAAAAAAAGAGATTTATTATTCTTTTGATTTTATTACTAATGGGGCTATTCTATAAGCAGATAAACAGTTAGTTGCAAAGGATTAATTCTAATACCTAGGAATAAGGAATGAAAAATCATGTGGGGTTTTATTTTTCTTCCTGTTCAAGAAATGCATTTCTTGATGCATATTAAGAAATACCTCCATGCAGAGATATTCAGATAAAGAAAAGGAAATTGTAATTTAAGAAAACATTTGCATGCTGGAGAAAAACATTATGGAAAAGTTCAACTTTTTTATGTTGGATTTTTTTAAATACGTTACAAAAAAATAACAGAGGCATTTTATTTTGGTCGGGGTAATCTATTAATGTATTCAATACCGATAGCTTTATGATTGTTATTGTTTAATATGTAATTTATGACTCAGAAAAGAAAAATGTTTGAAAGATTTAAAAGCCTCCTCTTAGTTAAAGAACACTTAAGCACATATTAGTGGATAATTGCTTGAAATTAGCTAAGCACTATAAATTACTTCAAGGATTTATGTATGCTTGTACTGTTCTAACAAGCTTTAATTAATGATGTGCTGCTAATGCCTTCCAAAAGAAATTACTTTCTAAGAGATAAATTGCCTTTCAATTTTATAGAAAAAGGCATTGTTTAACTGATATATTATCAATACATAGTATCTCCAGTGTTACCTCATCGAAAACTGCAGCAGGTATTTAAAAATAAATTATTTACATTATAGAATTTCAGGATCATCAGAAAACAACTCGCTTAAACTCATTAAGACAGGAAAATTAAATACATCTAGTAAGAACAACAAATGTTCACTGTATGTCCTTTCAGAAAATACATGAGGAAGGAAAGTTAACCAGCTTTAAAACAACATAAGAACACTGACTAAAAGCAGAATATAAGGAGGAAAAGTTTTACTGATTTGAAAAGACTGTACCATAAAAATAAAAACCTTCTGCTCAAACCTCGGAATAGATTTGTCTTTGAAAATCAAACTAAGTTACTGATTACAGTTATTAGAAATTATCAGTATCATTGGGTTTCAGTTTATTCATTCCTATTTGTTGCTTTCACTATCATTTGAAAGAAAAGTATTTTTAAAAGATATACTTACAATTCTTAACAGCCATGTGAGTGCAAAACTTGCAGTTGAATAATGTGTGCCATAGTGAAACTTTGGAATTTGATCATCTTCCCAGGATTCATATCGCTCAGCAAAGAATGCTGCTCTCTTTGGGTTCAAAGCTCCAATAGGCTGCAAGAGTTGTGAAAATAAATATGTAAGTAAATAAAGACAAAAACACCTATTACCTAGTTATACACCACTTGCTCTTTGCAGTAACCAGAATTACCAGCACACATGGATAAGGCAGACATGGGATTTCCTAAGCAGAAGAATAGGCCTGTGGATTTCAAACTAGGATCTTACRTGTACACACAGGTGATTGGATACAAGTCTCTCTCTCATCCTTAGAGGCTGATTCAAATTAATCAGTCAAAACTACTTCACAGCAGTGAATCTTGCACAAAAACAAGTGTTAACTGGTAAGAGTACATGTGTATGAATAAAAAATTGAATGAGTTGGAAGCAATAACCAAGAAAAACTTGGGTATCTTGGTGGGGAAAAAAAAAAAAAAAAAAAAAAAAAAGACTGTTAGGGTGGAAGAATATCAACAGCGTATTTGCCAAGACAAGTTATACTTAATGGATAAAATATGTTTGCATTCAATGTAGGAAAAAGCAGAAATAAATAATAATAGGAGAAGTTAACAAAGTAGGCATATAAAATGACAGAATATCTGTATAAAAAGTATGGATTATAAAAAAAGTAACATATGTATGATTTAAAAAAAAAAGGCTATTATATTTTCACCAGTATTTTTATTGTTAAGTCCTTTGTTAAGCTGTAACATAAACATCCTAGGATTTATTTTAAATGTAAGAAATAGAATATTTTGATATATATAACCATGTATTTCTTCTTAGCAGACTGGCTTTTATATAAAGGATTTGGAAAAATGACTATACTCCACATAAATTACTGAGAAACCCAAAGGTGAACTTTAACAGTTCCACATGTCTAATGCTGTAAGAGGTCAAAAATATCTTAGTATACATGTGCAAAACATATATGCAATACAATTACAGAGCACACTCTTTGTATGCTATTAATGTAAGCAATGCTCTTCTGAAAAGACAATGGAAGCACTGAAGTATAACTGAAGAACAAATGAATGAAAATATTTTCTTGTTCTTGTCCTGCAAGAATAAATATACTTAAGAATATAGAGCAAGGGTGGGAGAAAGATTAAAAATATCGAAGCAAAAGTAACCATCAATAACCTAATTRCTAATTCTAATACATTTCAAGTGAAAAACTCTGTTATTGAGATTATTATTATTCAAGTATCTACTTCTTTGCAGCTCACATGAAATTTGACATACAAGCTTCAAAGTATTTCCTCTTCCAGGACAGATTCAATCTATGAATGACCTAAGATCTAATCTTACATTTTTTACTTAAAGCGGCTTTCACATTGCAGTAGAATAAAGAAAACATCTTAGGTTAATTACTATTTTTGCAGTTTACTAATTTGAAATATAACCCTCTAAAAAGAGTAGTTCCTGTATAAAAGGATTTTTATCTGATTTAGCAAATTTATTCCAGGAAAGAATGAAACTGACTCCAAGAAGTCTCTTTGTTGCAAGAACCAATTTGGAATCTCCATCTGTACTGATTTTCCCTAAAGATTCAGCTATGCTTGAAGGAAAAAAAAAAAAAAAAAGAAGAAAGAAGGTCACTGGTAGACAAATTATACAAATTAAAAATAGAAATAGTGTTGTGCTGTATAGGTAACATTTTATATATTCACTTTATCTGCCCCTATAAATGAGTATGGCCCAAATCAATAGTTATAGAATTACATTCCTTGAATATAAAGCTAAAACCAATTAGAATTGATTTCATTCTCTTCTCAAAGAAAAAGAAAAAAAAGGTATCATGCAGAGATCCATATAGCCAGAATACACAGTATTGATTTTAGTTGTTATTGTTACAGTTGGTTTCTGAAGCCTGCAACAGGACAACTATCAAGACATGTCACATTTATTTGCAAGGAAATAAAAAAGTCCCCAAATGAAAGAAAGCTTAGGAAAAAAAAAAAAAAAGAAAAAAAAGGAACCATGGAGCTGTGCACTGACAATGATACACTATCAGCTTACTCAGAGAAGTTACAGTGGGAATACACACATTGAATTATACATTACACGAATGCACTGATTTATTGTGGTAATAACATCCACCTCATTAAAAGATTCTGCTCTGCTGCAGTTGGAGGGCTACATATTGTTTACTGCTATAAATTAATGGCAGTGCACAGAAGACTGTAGAATTCTTCTAACAATAGATCTGTAATGACAGTGCTGTATATCACAGCTTCCCCAGCAGCTTCATAATAAAATGGAGACAATGTATTGGGCTAATACATTCTACCAGGCAGGCCCATATTTTTCTGACAACTGCTTTTAAGGATGAGGTGATTCTAGTGTGTTACGCTGCGCTGCAAACAGTTAACAAGCTTGAGCTACAGAATAAAGCTCGCAGGAGGAAGAGTCAAATACCCTCTGACTTTTGAATAACACTAGTAAAAATATTAGTCCAAATGTCTCAGTTATTTCATATTTCAAAACTAACTGGGAATCATGACTACATACCGGATTGTCTCCCCTGGGGAGAAATGCCAAGAGAAAAAGAGTAAATTCAAACCAAGCCAGGATGGATGTAGCTGTGCAACGTGAAATCTGCACTACTCAATATGGTTTCCCTCTTGCTGCAGACCACTCGGGTAGACCATGCTGAAAAGCCTTTGTGGCCAGCATTTCCTTTGCAGCCACTCTTTGCAGAGACGAATTACATATTAGTCCACCCATGAAAAACACTTGTTAATGCAGAAACAAATAAAAAGCAGGGAAAGAACAGTCCCAACAAGCCAACAGACAACATTATAGCAGTCAATGAGACAAAGCAAGGAGCTGCTTTAAGGGTTCTAAGCTTTCTAACTGTACTGAATGATGAATAAAACATATAGTTTACAAATCAGAGTTCATTCAGAARGTCCAAAATGGAAAAAAAAATGGGGTAAGAAAATTTTTATTTTTCCAGTAGTGGGATCATCTTGTTTCACTTCATATTATTTTTAAGTGTTCTCAAATCCATCTGCATCTCAAATTAAACAAATTTCATATTTTGCCAAGTACTTAATAYAGTAAATCTTTATCTTTCAAGACCAAAATAATTTTTTTCTCTAAGACAGATCCAATAAAAATGGTTTATTAAAAAATAATAGGAAGCACAATATCTTTTATCATTTACTGATGCTAAATATGTCCTAAATCTATGGTGTGTTGGTTTGCARTTCTATTCTATTCTAATCTAGACTTACAGGAGTGGTGGCCAAACTGGCCTCTGTTCGCTGCTCTTTTAGAAACGGCAGAATCTTTCCCGGATTTTGTCATATAGACACATGTTCAAGAATGCACTAAGAGGGATCATGTTCATTTTGGAAAATTGCTTATGACCTAACATAGGCAAATTGAACGCTTATAAGGATGCAATTACAATATATTTATTTACATATCTAACAGAAATAAAAAAGGAGGCTTTATTCCTATTTAATGTGTCTCCTTTTTAAATAGCACTGCTCTAAAGGTACTCTAGATATACCCTGTTCTCTCCCATGTGACCTTTACCTGCCTTTTACGTAGACTTTTGTTATTAAAACAAATGCTGCTACTATTGCAGTCTCCTCATGCATGTAATACTTTTTTTTTTTAATTATTACTATTTCATATTCAAAATCCACAGAAGACCAGAGTAGAGACTTTGATGGTAAGTTGCTTATAATTCCTGTAAACAGGAGCAGTCAAGGTGTCTTAGTTTTGTCTTCACCATTTTGGTTTCTGGGGAAGATGCCAATCTAATCACACTGGAAATCAAGAGCTCTGTGTATCTGTGAACTCTGAGAAGCAGCAGCTCCAGTAACAAACTCTTTGTTCACTAACAAAACCAAAAGATTCTAAAAAGTGATTTTCCTTTGAAAAATGTGTTTTGGTTATTTATAATGAAAAAATACTTTCCTAGTCCATTAGTTTTTCTAGTTCACTTTCTCTTTTTCATTAAGTTATTCGTTCTTATGTTTAAAATATTTTTTTTCTTTTATGGCAGAAAACTATGAACTAATATTTTTCTTTCAGTGGTACATTTTAAAATTAATTTCTTAGAGCTTACTTCTGCAGTAAGACCATAAAAATATTTTGGTTTTCCTCACTGTAGTTAGGAGGTGTGTAGGTACACTTACAATATCCAAACCAGTGTAGCACACTGTAAATCTTCCTAGTTTTTGCTATTTGTGCTTTCAAATATGCTGAGAGATTTCTGTGATCTTGTTACACATTCTAATCTCTTTCTTTCTTCCAGCTATTGTTAATCGTGGTTCTTCTCAATAGTTAGCATCAGTGGCTCTTTGTGCATTTACTTTCTCATGCTACCCATTTGCATTCCTCATTGCAAGAATCTCTTCTGTGGAAGAGAGGAATAAAGTTGAGGGAAGAGGAAAAATGGGAGGGGGCAGGGAAAAAAGAGGGAGAAGAGGGGTAAAAGGAAATAGGAGAAAAGGAGAAAAGGGAGGGGGTGGGAGAAAAGGAGAGGAAATTGGAATGGAAAAGAGTGGATGTTTTTTCTTCTGGTTTCTTATATGCCTTTCTTATCCACATCCAAACAGGTATTTGGATTGCTGTGAATACAACTGTCTATTATTGAATTACGCTTYGCAGCATTTTTGCCAAGTATGATGTTTGTTTTTCATATACTTTGTTTTCAAGATGACTATTCTGGTTTTCATTACTGATATTTTTCATGTATTCATTGAATTTTAAGGACCAGAGGGACCATTAGGTCATCTCATCTAGCCTTGTGCTTGTATGGCAAGCCATTAAATTCCTTTCCATTACAGGATTGTGAATCCAACCATTTATACTTGATTATAACATGAACTGTGTTTGGCCAATCTGCTTTCCAGAAAGGCATCTGAATCCTGAGCACATGGAGAATCTACTATTTTTCTTGGAAGCCTTTTCTACYGATTGTCATCCTCATTGTTAAAAATAGGTGCTTCAGTTCAGCTATGAATTTACTGGTGTGTTATCAAAAATCTTGTAATATGACTCACTCTGATAGATCACAGAGCTTCTACTCA